GCAGAAGTCACTGCTCTGGGGAACACTGGTACTGAGATGGGAGTCAGTGTTGCAGAGCTTACCAGTTCCATGATGAAGATCAATGCCCAAAGGCTGTCAGTAATTAAGTGCTGATAACCCATTGATGCTGAGGTGTTCGCTGGTGCTATATGGATGGAAGACACTGATGCTGATGCGGGCAACAATGATGCTAGAGTGACTCTCGCTGCATTCAGCACTGATACCACCAATGCCAATCTAGATCTGGGCACCTGGGCTGGACCTTGAGCTGATTGTTACACACACAAGAGGTCCAAAAAGGCCTTCTGATAGAGGCTAGAGATCTTGACCTCTTGTTCTTAGTTCTGGAGCAATAGGAGTCAGCATAGGACTCAGAAGTCTCTCTCAAGCATAAATTACAAAGGAGCAGTGCTGGGTGCTGCTGAAGGGTGATGGGTCTCCTAGAACTGGTAAGTTTTGCACTCATGACTGACTGGTGTCAGAGAGACATGCTTTGGAGATGGAGACTGACGTAGCATTGTGAGAGGCTTGACACAAGATGGAAATGGTGGTTTGGCCGCTATTCGGAGTAATTGGTGCCATCTTCCATCATGCGGATCAAGTCCCAAGCCAAACAAATTTCTTTTGAGTGGAGAAAAGTTTAATCTCCTAGCTCTGGAGGTCCAGAAAGTGGTAATGGTTCAGACATGACAGAACCCTTTGTTGGGCAGAAGTCAAATTATCTGTGGGAGCCATCTTGCTAAAGGGCTAAAGGGTCTTGGGCTTCCCCATGGCTGGCTGCTTCCTCTATGAAGTGAAAGAATGACTTCTTCCTAACTCTTCTTTTTCTGAGGTACCAGAGACAAGATCTGCACCGACCCATCATGTGGTCCCACCATATCAGTGCCACTCTTTATGAGGCGCTAGGTCCCATACTGTTGGAACTGGTGCACTATTCACCAAGGAAAAGGTGTTCCGCATAGGATCCGCTGATCCCCGGTTAGATAGCGGACAGAGAGCTGTCTCCATGAGGAAGATCCTGAACCTTTGCTCGTGATCTTTGTGTTGATGGGTGAAAACTATTACAGATGCATCACTTTTCTTTTTGGTGACACTCACGGAGACACTTCAGGCACTCAGAGTGGGAATCACTCTTAACCATAAGCTGGCTGCAAGCTTTGCAAGCTTTAAACCTCAGGAACCAAGACATGCTGCAGTGCAGGGAAGAGAGAAAAAAAGAAAATAATCTAACTCAACTATCTTTAACTAATCAACTTAACCAACAAACAATGAATGAACAGATAGGACACTGCTAATGGTGATTACATCTACCATCATTGAGTGGTAAGAAAGAATTGGGGCTCGGTGGGTTAGCAGGGCTTTATATTAGGTGCCATGAAGGCACCACTTGAGGGGGGCACTCAAGCTGACCTGATAGATGCTGCTAGGGGAAAAAAATTCTGGGTTCTCTGCATACGAATGGACATGAACAAGCACTCGAAGAAGCACTTAAAGAAGAAGCACTCAAAGAAGCATTTGAAGAAGCACTTAAAGTCCCACAGGAAAATAAAAGACCAGCATCTAGGTTCCTTCCAGCATGGCACAGCTGTTCGATAGATTTGCAGTGTTGCTGACAGGGGATTAAGAAAAAAATGCTGATGTAAAAAAGATGCACCTTGCCTTGGTTTTGAAAGCAAGACTAAGTTGTATAGAAATTATGCTTCATTATTACTTAACCAAACACCACGAATTCACTTACATTCAAAATGCTTTTAGCCGGTGCTTAGGTTTTGCATAAGCAAGTCTGAATAAGTAGATAGGTTCCAAATTGAGCTTGGCAACCAGATGCTTCAGGTGCACACACAAAAGCTGTTCTCTTAGATTAAGAATTAATAATTATTGTAGCACAGCATTGACCACCAAACACAGGTATTCACTCCATTTTGATAATGGTGAGTCCATCTCTTTTTTCAGAGCTCTGCCAGCACTACCAGCATGCCATTTTCATAAGAATATTTTCATAAGGATGGTCAATTGTTCTCATCCCAGGTCTGATCTCAGTTCCAGTGAAATCAGTAGGGGTTTTGTCATGGACTCAGAAGGAACAGTGTTAGGCCTACTATGTGGGAAATAGATGGTTTATTTTAGTCCTGAATCCTGTGAATACCTATGTATATGAGTAGTGTTATTGGCTCACATTCAGCATAAGGGTTTTCAGGCTGGAGCCCCGAGGACTCCAAGCATTGATGAGTGCGCTTAACTATAAACATAAGAGTAACCCTATTGACTTCAACAGAACAATTCATTTGCTTAAAATTAATCAAATGCATAACTGTTCGTAGGACTGGCACCTTAAACTGTAGCCTTCTGGGTACAGGATTCAGGGGGTTGAAGTTATCAGAAAATTCCCACAGACTTCAAAGGTCTTTGAGTCAGATTCTGAGTCATCTTCTGATTCATGCAAAGGTTCTTAACCAAACATAACTGTCTTCTCTTGATCATCTCCAGTATATTTCAGCATTGATCTCAAATATAATCATGTAGCAGCCATATTTTATTAAACAAGAAACTTCAGAAAACATATCATCCTATTTTACCCGTGGGAAAAAGAAGGTGGCTGACCTTTTAATGGACTAACTTCTGTTTGTGAGTGAAATAAGTGTTGGAACTCCACAGAGTTCTACTTTGAAGTTACTGTGACGCATACTTTGGTCCAATAAAACATAAGATCTCACCCAACTTTTCCTTCTTATACCCTGGGACCTAAACAACTGCAATACTGCAAACAGCATATTACCTACTTCAATGTTTCTTTCTGATGAATTTTATGTAACAACCTATTTTGGAGACTGACACCAATATTTTAAAAAATACCTGGTTAATGTGGGGCATCTACATCAGACAATTGCAGCCCAGTTGGATACCATTGTACCCATTGCACCATGCCTTTAATTAATCATTTACAAGGCTTTTAAAACTAAGGTGTAGACAAGCAAAAATCATTGTTAATCAATAATATATTTCACCAATATGTAGGGTTTTCTTAGCAGGCATGTAAATTATTAATGAAAGCAAATGTCTCCTAAGGAATACAGAACCTTGGTCATGAACTTTATTTTAACTCCTCTCCAAATATAGTTCTTGAATTCCAGTTCATCTAGTTTACTCTGTCATATGTCAAGTACCATTTTTTTTCATCACTTCATTCAGCAGCAAGGAAAACTCCAGTATTCTACTGCTTGACTTTACAGCACATATATTTTCTTCCTATAAATCAGGGTGGGGAACCTTTTTTGAGTCTGGGGCCTCTGATCCACAGTTGGAGGTCAGAAAACAAAACAACCCCACAACCAACCAACCAACAAAACCCACCCCAAACAAAACCCTCATTGACATGCCACTGACTAAAAAGGAGAAAGACACCCCCCCACATTCCCCTTGCACACCAGAGTCTGAGGGGTCCAAGCTAATAATTTTTGTGTGCTCCAGCGCCATGGGAAGATAGCGGGGGCTGGAGCACCAGTGCAGGCTCCCCAATCTGGGAGGAAGCGTCGAGCCTCAGAGGCTGCATCCTGGCAAGTCGGTGGCTGTATCTGACCTCCGGGTCTTAGGTTCGCCACCCCTGCTATAAAGTATAGGTAATGTGTGAGAGCGAGGACTGCCAACAGGGGAGGGAGAGTAGCTGCCCCAGGGCCCAGGAATTAGAAATGTCCTAGAGCTCTGGGCTGCCACCATGGCAAGAGAAGCAGCCAGAATGCCAGGTCCTTTAAATTACTGCTAGAGCCCCATGAGGCACAGTCCAGGTGGCACAAAGGACTGCATTGGGAAGTCTAGTCCCCAGCCCTGCCACTTCCGCTAACCCCAAGATGCTGCTCCATCTGGAGGGGCCTGGATCTGACCCCCCCCACACACACATCTTGCACAGGGTCCAGTGAAGTCTATTGCCAGCCCTAGTGAGAGCAATAGAAATAGGATACTGTTTTACATGTTCTTTTACTGGTTCACAAAAAAATGGAGGGAATGTAAAATCACAAGATATGTGAAGCTCGCAATCCTCCAATACTTATATTCTATTAAATTCAGCTACAGTTATGATCAGTTCTATCCTTATTGTCTATTTTTGCAAATGACTGTGTCCATTCTACCCTGCCTACTAGTTAAGCAATGGGAGGTAGGCTTGATAATGAAAAGAAAAAGGAATTAGTAGCTCAGACCACTCCATTGGAAAAAATAATATTCTGTTAAGATTGCAAACAGTAGCATGAGATGAGAAATTAGATTTAAAAGTAATTTTCATTCAAGCAGAGTGATTTTGGAAACAATTATCAGATTTTCTGTAAACTGCTCTGTTTACAAGCACATCTTCATTAACTCCTTCCTAGAATAAAAATGCCTGGATCTTGATTCTCTGCTATACTATAGCAACAGATCCCTGATTCTCACAGCACTGACAAAAGTCTGGCTGATTATGGATTGCTGTACTTTGACCTATTGATACAGGTTTCTTGATGGGCCTCACACCACACTCACTTCCCACTCCTGTCTCCGACCAACATGTATTCTCCTGACCATAACATGCCACCAAAGCCAGAACTGAGGGGAATGACAGACGCCTACTCAAGGAGCTCATCTCCAAAAGAGGAATTCACTCAAGGCCATTTTGTGCCTCCACATCTAAGAAGAGAATCCAGCCCCTGTATGGGCAGCCTAGCAGCCCTTCTTCTTTTTCCCCTACAAGTCTCGCTGGACATTTCAGCAGTGATTTGATAGTGATCAGTGATCATTGAAGTTGGGTAGCACATGATGAGTTTCTAGGTATCAAGGGTTCAAAACAATGGGAACATTAATATTACTAAATTGTTCATTATTTCTCATTTCCCCTTGACTTTGAAATAAAGAAATAATCATTTACGGGGGGGGGGGAGGGGGGGGGAAAAAAGCAAGTCAAACTAGACTGCCTGCTCGTATGATAAATGTATAATCACCATACATTTGCATCTGGTTTTTTTTTTCATATGCAGGTATTTCATAGATTGGAAGAGTGATGCCGACAGCTACTTTACAATAGATGGATCTGAAGGAACCATTGCAACTAATGAGTTGCTGGACAGGGAAAGCACTGCACAGTACAATTTCTCTATAATTGCAAGTAAAGTTAGTAAGTATGGCATGAATTAAATTAAGATACTAAAGTAGTGGCTCTCAAAATACAGTGCTTGGAATTGAGCATCCTTTAAAATTGTTTTTTCTATGGAATTGAGCTTTGTTTAAAATGTTTATTGCTTTAAGGACATATAACATTTATCAGCTTGGAAAGACTAAGTGTCATATTCAGATACTCATATATAATCAGGTTTGACCTGTACTTTTTAAGCAAGCACAGTTCCCACAAAATCAATTGGAATTTTGCTATCAGAAAGAGGTTGGGGTTAAAGCAGAGGTGGACAATAATTTTTAATGGGGGAGGGGGCACTCCAAGATTTTTACAAGTGGTCGAGAGCCACACTTCTATGGAGGAGGTGCAGGGTCTGGGACAGAGCTTGAGTGCAGGACAGGGTGTGGGGTCTGAGAGGGAGTTTGAGTGAAGGAGGGAGTTTTGTCCTGGGAAAGGGTGAGACAGGGGCAGAGGGTTTTGGTGGTGACCTGGGGCAGGAGGTTGGGTTGCAGGGTCAGAGAAGTGCAGCTGCAGTGGCACAGGAGTGTGGTGTTTTAGATGCTGCTTGTAATTATTAGAACTGGGAGCACTGGCTGTTGGGAATCTGGAAGCACAGGAAACTGGAAGGAGGGGGGAGGAGATGGACCAGGCCTGAGTGAGAGCTACAGAGGGGAGCAGCAGGAAGGAGGAGGAGTTTGTTACTACCTTGCTTGCATGATACAACACTGGGGCTAGGGGTCCATTTCCTCTGGGATGGCCAGGGCTCAGCAAACAGAGCTGTAAACAGGGGAGTTTGAGTGGGAGTTCTGTTGGAGGAGAAGTTTGTATTTGGTTTTGTATTTGTATTGTTTGTATGTGTAGAGGCTTGTAGGGGCAGTGTGCTATGAGAGAAGTTGAACCCTGATTGTAGGGGCAGTGTGCTACGAGGGAAGCTGAACCCTGATTAGGCTTTGCTGATTAGGAGTCCTATAAAGGTAGCCATCCACTCAGGCAGCGACACAGACAGTTGCAGCGACACAGGAGTCAGCAAACAGAGCTGTAAACGGGAGATTGAGTGGGAGTTTGTAAGGGGAATTTGGATTGTGGGACTCATTTGGGGTTTGTTTTTGCTTGGGGGTGGGGGGTGTTTTGGTTTGATTTTGTGTTTGCCGGATTAACAGGATTTAGGTGAGAAGGCTGATTAACACAGAAGTAGCAGTGGCCAGGACCCAAGCAGTAGAGGACACAAGGAGGATGGTTGGATGTGGTAGCTGCGGGATGTACATGATCCTGGAGCGGGTACCTGATTGGATGTGGTAGCTGCGGTATGTACATGATTCTGGAGGGGGGACCTGAAAGGAGTTTTGTTTGCATGAAGTGCCGCCTGATAGAGCTGATGGAAGAAAAGATCCAAGGATTGGAGATGCAGGTGGAAACTCTGGTCGAGTTTAGAAGGGGTTTCGAGCAGATGATGGAGCAAAGGCATGAGGTGGCTGAAGGGGAAAGCTTAGATATGCAGATGGAAGCAGGATCAAAGGCCTCTGAGGGGGGACTGCTGGGCGACGAAAATGGACAGTGGAAACATGTGACTAAGAGAACCAGGCAGAAGAGAAGATGGGCCAGTGAAGGAGAAATTGAGCTCAAGAACAGGTATGCGGAGTTGGAGAATGAAGAAGGGGTACAGCAGGTGGCCACTGAAGGTGGAAGGGCAAGGAAGAAGAGAAGAGTGGTTAGTCTCATAGATAAAGGGGAAGAGTCTATGGAGACAACACCAATAATGAGCACTAGGAGGATACAGGATGGGTTGAAGAGGATTACAAGGGAAAATAGGAATGGAAAGGATTTGCAGCCAGAGGAAACAAGAGATAGACCAGAGAATCACACTGTCACCAGAAAAAGGCAGGTGTACGTGTTTGGAGACTCCTTATTGAGAAGAATAGACAGGCCTGTAACCAGAGCTGATCCACAGAATAGAAGGGTGTGCTGTCTGCCAGGTGCTAAGATATGAGATGTGGAACTGAGGTTGAAGGGGATCCTAAAGGGAGCGGGAAAGAATCCATTGATCATCCTTCATGTAGGAAAAAATGATATGGCTAGATTCTCGCTGGAACGAATTAAGGGAGACTATGCCAGGCTGGGGAAGACGCTTAAGGAAATCGAGGCTCAGGTGATCTTCAGTGGGATTCTGCCTGTTCCTAGAAAAGGGCAACTAAGATGTAACAGGATTATGATGCTCAAGAGATGACTCAGGCAGTGGTGCTATAAGGAGGGCTTTGGGATGTATGGCCTCTGGGAGGCATTCATGGACAGAGGAATGATCTCTCGGGATGGACTTCACCTAAGTAGGGAGGGAAATAGACTTCTAGGATGGAGGCTGGCACAACTGATTAAGAGAGCTTTAAACTAGGAATTTGGGGGAGACGGTTGGGAGATGTCCAGGTAATCTCTATGCTGGATTTTAGCATTGAGA